GGCGCTCGTGGGGGGCTCTCTTGGGCCCCTCTTGGGGACCTCTTGGGACCTCTTGGAGCCCTCTTGAGGCCTCGGAAGGCGATCTGAAGCGAAATGACAAGAAAGCAAAACACATTGATCTCCCATGCTTTTGGGAAGGATTTTGGCCTCTTTCGGGCCTCCTCGGGGAGCTCCTTGGCCACTTGCAGACGTCTTGGGGTAGGGGGAAGGGTCAAGCTTCCCACCCGCCCTTAAGCCGTTTTGCTCACTCCCACCCACCCTCCCAACACATACGTAACACCCGGGAGTCAGCATATCGCGTAAGAACGCTGCAGACGCCTCGGGTTCCAGATGCTGGAGGCCCAAGCGTACCAGTCGCGCCAGGTGCGGCGGGTGCTCCACGTGCGCCCAGTGTTCCACGTGCTCCAGCCGCGCCAGGTTCCCCAGCCACTGGGAACCAATAAGGGCTCTTGGGCTCGGCTTTGAGCCTCCTTGGTCAATTTTGGAGTCGTGTGGAGGTTTCGAAATCCCATCGGAAACGGCAAGGCGAAAAGGCAGCAGTCACTGATGTGTCAAACCGGTCGGTCGACCACCTGTGCCCAGACGGCAGGTGGGATCTGTTGGCACCCCAGCCGTCTTTGTAAAATTCCAATACAAAATGGTCGCGGGGCGGCGGCGTATGCTCCAAAAATGGAGGCAGAGTGCGTTTCGTATTGTTTTCTGACAGGAATGGTGGGGGGTGGCCCTCATGGGGTTGGCATGGTTCCGGGTTGGCCGCCGGCCGGCTGGGGAAGGGGGCGTATATTAATAGGGAACAGGGATAAGCCGTGATAAGCCCCTCCCCGAAGGGATAGAAGGCAAGACACGCTATACCACCTACGCCCTAAAGGGCTGGTGGGATTATTACTCAGAAGTACAATGGCCAAAACCGGCACCGTTGAAGCCCTCTTCAGACCTGTACCCAGGGACAGTGTGAGATTGTTCGGCCCCCTCATTCTGACATAAACGGTCCGAGGGCCCGCAGGACCGCCAAACAGTTATTCAACATGAAGATTTGGTCTTTGAATAAAGAGAGCCCTGGGCCCAGGACACGTTTCTCTCAGGACCCGTTTGTTTCACATCATAGTGTTTTGTTATTCGCACGGTGTGTGTGTGTGTGTGTGTGTGTGGGAGTGTGTGTGTGCAGGCTCAGCCCACGATGTGGCGTGTCACTGCCATGCCATCCACGCCAGGATGGTTGATGACGGTGAGGCCACATCCTGAGGACTAAGCGATGCTTGAGGGCCTGGTCGCCGCGCGCCGCGCGCACTGAGTTTACGCTTACTCCGCCGCGTCGCCCCGCGCGAGGCCGCTACCGCCCCGCCCCCAACAAACATAGCTTGACGAAGGACCCAATCATATACAGTTGTGAATACCGCAGTTGTGGGCGACGTCCTCGGTGGATGTCACTACGGGCCACGAAACGCTGTACTGGGCAGGGGAGACGCACGCGAGCGTTGCCGTTGGGGTCTCGGTGGAGCTCCCAATGCGCAACGAAACGCTGTACTGGATGGGGGGACGCATGCAAGCTTTGCCACTGGGGCTTCGGTGGAGCTCCTCTGCTGTTCTTCTGCTGAACAGAATTTAAGATGGCGGTGCCAGCTTTAGATTCGCTGCAAGACGCTTGGAGGCATGTCAACATAAACAGGGCCAGAACAGGTCAACTTGTTGAACGCCTGCGTCGTATCTAAACTTACGTGCAACATCGAAACACTTTGTCTGCACACGGCAGACCGAGTCAATATCGACGCCTCTCAAGCACAGTGTGCACGCCAGATTTCTAACATTGCACATTCCATGATTCCACATTTTAGTAACGTAGACGTGCAAGGCAAAGCAAACCACAAAATGTTTGAGCCAGCGGGCGTTTGCCAAACAATGTTGTACCATTGAGAGCAGGTCGCCATGCCCGACGAGTCGCTGCTTCGCCAGAAAGTTTTGCAGAGCTGGAATTCGCATCTCCTCGATCTCGGGGCACGCCGCAGAGGGCGTCCCATATTATAGCGGTCATCGGTAATGCACGCGTGTTTTGACAATTGCAACGCGCGTGCACGGCGGGGCCCTGAACCAAGAAGAGGCCGCCCGACAAACGCTTGGACAGGGCATGTTCAATCGCGAAGCGTGGAAAGAGAAAGTCTTGAGGCACTGCTCAAATTCATGTCCAAAGCAACCAGGCGCCTTGGGGTGGAATTCTAATCACCTAGCTTAGTGGATGAATTTCAAGAGTTCGATTTTGGCCCCAGGTCCCCCGTCAGTCTGCCCTGTTGGTGGTGTCGTCGTCGTCCCCTCTTCTGCCGTCCTGCGTCGTTCCTCTGCCTGCTGTTCCTCCTGCTCGTCCCTCAGGCGGTCGCCCGGGCTTCGCCCCCCTCCCCTCCTCTCGGGTGTCGTCCCCTGTCGCTCGCTCTCTTTCCCCCCCCGCTCCAAGCTCGTCCTGGTCTCCGGGTGTCGTTTCCTCCTCTGCCCCGTGTTGCTGTTGCTCTCCCGGGTCGTCCACCATGCGGGCGCCTAGGCGGGGCTGGGCGCGAATGAATTATCTTCACCACCCCTGACGTTGGCGTAATGCTGAAAACACGCTCGCGCACGTGATCTGCAACCGATGTGCAGTCTAGGCACGGTTTTTGGCTCACTGACTGTCATGTGTTCGACGCGCGCACACATGGAACCGATTGCCCGCGAATGGGCGCGGAAGATGACAGCGTGATATTGCGCGTGCGCGTTTTTTGTTCTACGTTGTTTGCAGTTTGGTGGCCTGCGAACGCCATTGAGTCGCTGGGGCTGCACGCGTAAGTATTTTCGCATGCGCCGCTCAAGCTCGCTCGTGTCCAGCACTCGCCCATGCTTGGTGGACCTGTCCGTGCTGAGTGGGCCACGGGAAAATCGACCGCGCGTGGTGCCCCGATCGCGATCGGACAGCGGTCCAAGAAACGGGGAGATAACAGAAGTCATTGGTTGAACAGCGTGCAAGCCACTATGTGTGGAGCAAGAAATGGTGCGACTCCCGCAGGCACAAAGCCATCGATGAGTGGATCACGTTACATCTTGAACCGCGGCAACCAGCACAGGTTCAAAACAGGCGCAGCGCAAAAGTCGAGCACGGGATACCGACTCTGATATCCGTAAGGGCTTCGCCCCCTGCCGCCAGCCCCTTCTCTCGGATAATGGCGATGCAGAAAACGAAATCATGAGGCCTTGGCGCCGCCGTGATACAGCATCGGCAAGAGAAATTGATATTCGGATGATATTGTCGAACTTAGTGTTTCGGAGACGCGAATATTCCGTAAATGGTTTCTTGGCCGAGAATACAGCGTGATTTGCAAGGGATTATGGCTTCGGGGACGCGAATGTAGCGTAACGTTGACGTCATTTGCGCAGGTTTATGGTTTCGGAGACGCGAATTTAGCGTACTGTATAACAAAAATCAGGTGTATGGATTCGGATACGCGAATCGCGCGTAATTTTCGAAGCTGTATGGCTTCGGGGTCGCAGCTATAGCGTAATTTACGCGGGTTTATAGCTTCGGAGACGCGAGTATTATGTGAATTAAGATGGTGTGTGGCTTCGGACACGCGAATATTTCATACTTTACGAGGGTGTATGGCTTCGGGGTCGCAAATATTGCGTCATTTACGTCGATGTATAGCTTCGGAGACGCGACGATTGCATATTTTGCGATGGCTAATGGCTTCGGGGACGCGAATATCATGTGATTTACAAGCGTTTGTTGCCTCGGGGACGCAAGCATCGCGTAATTTACGATGGTTCATGGCTTCGGGAAGTGAATATGGTGTATGTTGCGAGGGTTTATAGGTTCGGGGACGCGACTATTGTGTACTTCGCGATGGTGTTGGCTTCGGGGACGCGAATATTGAGTAATTTACGCGGGTTTATGGCCTCGGGGGCGCGAATTTCCCCCCCCGCCCCCCTTCAGAAATTCTGATAACCCTCCCAGGAGACGTTCATCAGGGTATTTTTCGGCTCCCCCCCTCGCGCGGTCCATCAACAAGAAACCGCAAGCAGCAACAAGCAGAACTGTAACAGTGGAAACTGGAAGCTGGAACTGGTGCAGGGCACAGCAAACCCTAGCCCTACAGCCTGGTGGCCCCATAAGGGGGCCGGCGGATTTTAGTTGGGCACGCGCAGCTATGTACAACGAACACATCATCGTAGTGCCCTTTTAGCCTTGCACCAACTTCCGACACAAGCCAGTGGGACTCCGCGTGATCATGTTCATTGACCTTTGCTGTGGCCCAGACCGAGGTCATTGCAGTGTGCAGCAGCGCTGCTTCTGACATTGGTTGCAGCGACTCTATTGAAGGCAGCGCCATCGCTTCATTGCGCATGCGGCATGCGTTTGTCAACGGCTATCTTTTGGTATAGAAGATTGATGATTTTGACTTGCTAATCTGCTCCTTTCGTGCAGTCAGACATGATTAGTGTGTGCGTATGGCTACGTACTTGTCTTGCTTTTTTTGGTGTAGTCGGACTGTGGGAATGCTTGCGTTTTCTAGTCGCACCTCGCAGATTCTGCTAAGTTGACTAGGGCAATATGCCTTGTGATGGTCATGTGCCGGCGTTGTGCGTGACAAGAGATGTTTGGAGTGGGAGTGCGCGTATGTAGGGATGAACGAGGACGCCCTGCGTTCACCTTTTGCGTTCCCATTCTCTTTCCGCCAGCTCCCCCCTGTCCCTGCTCTCCTTCCCGTGGTCAGCCTGCTAAGGCGTCGGAATATCATCCATCTATTTCGCCCGTAAGATGGCGCGTGTTTCGTGGGCACGTGTACCGTTCGAGCACACCATTCTCGCAGTGCGGTTATGTTCCGCAGGTCTCGTCTTTTCCCCTGATTGTTCGTGAGACTATCGATGATGCGTGCGCGGCAACCTGCAATTTGATGCCCCACTTTCTGGAATCACCGTATCAGTATCAGGCTCCATCTGTCTGCGTGCTCTCTCCTTTGCCGGTACCCTGTTGCTGGCCCTGGGAGGCGTACGGTGTTCTTGAAGACCGCGGCGCCGGCTGTGAGCCAAATGCGGGATATTGTTGGGCGTCATTTGGCCAGGACAGCAGTGAGTGACGATGTAGGAGGAGGGGGGCGAGCCATGACGGCCGCGGGTGCACGCAGGCGGATTCGGAGCAGATGTCCGCCGTTGTGGCCGGGGCATGAGGATGCAAGGGTGCCCCGCGAAAGTTGAACAGGTGCCTGGCAAATCTTGATAATTCTCAGAACTTTTTGTTGAGTCTCACAGTCTGGCGCAAGTCGCGATGAGAATGGTGGAGGCCCGGCCGAATTTACAGAGCCCATGAGGGGAGCAGGAGGGCACGCGCAGCCGAGTTCGAGACTTTTGCCAACCTAAGGGGTCCCCAGCACCGCCGCTGGGGGTGGGGCTGTGCGCAAGGGCCCAGGCACTGAGTGCACAGCTGACGAGTCCGATGCTATTCGCACCAGAGCGGTGTCAAGTACGAGGGGCCACTTGTTGGGCAGGATGGCAAGACGTGCCGATGTGCTGTACCACAGCGCAGGCGCCTCGGGAGGCACCAGCTTGCGGGCGGGCGTGTGTGTGGGCATGTGTGTGTGTATGTGTGTGTATGTCTGGGTGTGTGTGGGTGTGTGTGTGGGTGGGGTTGGGGGGCGAAGTGTCTCGGCCGCTGAGGGCTGCGTCGTTACACAACATTCGGGTCCCAGTGGTCGACATGCAGTTGGTGCACTTTGCGTCATATACTTGTTATGGTCGCGAGTTATCCGACGTTTCGGCATGTGTTCTGCGTGCTTTGTTTGTTCGTGTTTGCACATCTTGTGAGCATGCGATCAATGTTAGTTGTCGCAGGTCTCCGTTTGGGCCACGTCTTCGAAGGATCGGGTCAGTCGGGCACTTTTTTTCAGGCACCAGGTCGTTTGCATCTATTCCCCGATGTACGCGATGTGCTATTGTGGCATTCCGCTGTTTCGTGTCTGTCCGAACTGATGATGAGAAGGGAGGTGACCACATGGGACATCATGCCTCCCGTAACGTTCCCCTGAGAGTGGTTGCACTTAGGGGTTCTTATTTCGGTGACCTAAGAAATTGGATGGGTCGATCGAAGTTTCGCCATTTTGCCGCCGCCCGCGGGCGTCTTTTGGGCGCCTCGTGGGCGCCCTGTGCGCTGGGTGGGTCTGCCGAGGATTCGGCACGCTGCCGCTCGCATGGCCTGCACCGCATAGGTTGCACCTCGTCGCTTGCACCATTTTGACTGCGCCGCCCGGCTTGCGCCACGTAGCTGATACCGTACAGCTCGCACGGCACAAGCTGCAACGCATTTCTTACACAGCCTAGGCTTACTCCACATGGTGGTTGCGCGAGGACGCCTCGTCAGGCTCCGTCGGGGGCTGCATAGCTTGCACCACAGAGCTTGCACCACACATATTAAGCAGTATATATATAAATATAATTATACACACCTATACGACCACCCTTCGGGTGATAAGGAGGTTGTGGGGGGGGAGAGGGGGGGGGAACCAACATCTGACTCAATCGATCTCACTATCTCACTCACTCAACGGGGCACCATGGGACACCAAGGGACGCTTGTCGATCTCACTATCGATCTCACTCAACGGGACACCACGGGACACCGCGGGACACCTCCCGATCTCACTATCGGTCTCATTATCGATCTCAGGATCGATCTCATTCAGCGGGATACCATAGGTCACCACGGGACACCACATCGATCTCACTATCGATCTCACGATCGATCTCGCTATCGATCTCACTCAACGGGACACCACGGGACACCTCGGGACACCTGTCGATCTCACTATCGATCTCACGATCGATCTCACTCAGCGGGAGACCACGGGACACCTCGGGACACCACATCGATCTCACTATCGATCTCACTATCTATCTCACTCAACGGGACACCACGGGACACCTCGGGACACCACATCGATCTCACTATCGATCTCACGATCGATGTCACTCAACGGGACACCACGGGACACCATGCACGGGACACCAGCGGGACACCAGCGGGACACCGCGCAGCACCAGCCGCCAGAGGAGAAACATTTTGTCCGGCCGCGGCCCAGCCGCAGGAGGATATTTCGGGACACCCGCGCGACACCCGCGGGACATCGCGGGGCACCAGCCGCCGGAGGAGTTACATTTGGTCCAGCCGCGGCCCAGCCACAGGAGGATTTCGGGACAGCGGCGGGACACCGGCGGGACACCGCGGGTCTCCGGCCGCCGGAAGAGTTACATTTGGTCCGGCCGCGGCCCAGTCATAGGAGGAGAATTTCTTCTCGCCGGCCCACGCAGCTTCGCCTCGCCCGCACGCACGGCACGCACGACACGAACCCGAACCCGAAATCGATTTCCCGGTTGGGGGGGTCTCCGTTTCACGTCTGATTCCCCCCCCCAAGTTCCGAGATATATATATATATATATATATATATATATATATATATACGTGGTAGCACCTCCCCACATGATCAGACATATCTTTCTTCCATGCATCCCATATCTCCTCCTCATCATCCTCCGCTCTTCTTCTTTATCTATCTCTCTCTCTCATCCCCTTCTCCTCCCCCCCCTCCTCCTGCAGGAGCGTGGCAGCGTTAGAAAGGGATCTCGTTTTGAAAAGCCTCGTTTTGCTTTCTGAAGGGAACCATATGAAAAAAAAAAAAAAAAAAAAAAAAAAAAAAAAAAAAAAATATTCCTCAAACACAAAAGGACGTCCCTCCACGAGGAGGAGAAAGGAGGAAAAGGAGGAGGGTTGGAGGAAGAGGAGGTCGGGCACTGAACAACAAAAACACATAAGGAACAACCAAAGAAACCAAAGAAACCAAAGTCCCAGGGCTGACAAACCACAAATAACAAGGACGCCCCCCCCCAAAAAAACAAAAACAAAAAAACAACGATTTCAAGACTTACCCCGTCCCTGCTGCCCATAAACAGAAAGTGCTACAAACGTTGGTTGTTTTGCTTGTTCGTTGTTCCTTGTGGATTGTTTCAGCCATGGGTCTTTGGTTTTTTTGGTGTTTCCTTGTGTTTGCTTTGGGTGTTTCAATGCTCAGAAGGTCCTTTGTGGTACTTTTCAATAGAATCCAGTTGTGGTGCTTTCCGAAAGATTCTTGTTGTGAGGATTTCCCAGAGAATCATTTTGTGACGCTTTCCAACAGATTCCTCTTGTGAGGCTTTTCAATCGAATCCCTTTGTGGCGCTGTCCAATCCAAAAGGATCCTTCAGTGGCGCCTTCGAGAGGATTGCTGATTCGAGGTTTTCCCATCGAATCCTTGTGTGGTGCTTTCCAAAGGATTCCTGTTGTGAGGCTTTCCAGTACAATTCCTTTGTGGCGATTTCCTATCCACAAGGATTCCTTTCGTTGTGCTTTCCAAAGGGTTCCTGTTGTGAGGCCTTCCAGTAGAAACCCTTTGCGATGTTTTCCAAAAGGGCTCCTGTTGTGAGGCAATACAATGGAAACCCTGCGTGGTGCTTTTCCCACGGACTCCTGTCGTGCGGCGTCCTATAGAACCTTGTAGATGCGCTTTCCAAAAACGAGTCCTGTTGTGAGGCGTTCCAATCGAATAACTTTCTGTGGTGCTTTCCGATCCAATCGAATCCCTTTGTAGCGTTTTCCAAACGATTCTTGTTGTGAGGTTTTCCCATCGAATCCTTTTTTGCGGTGCTTTCCAAAGGATTCCTGTTGTGCGGCAGTCATTCCTGTTAAGAGGGTTTCCAATACAAATCCGTGCGTGGCGCTTTCCAATTTAATCGAATCCCTTTGTGGTGCTTTCCAAAGGATGCCTGTTGTGAGGCTTTCCCATGGAATCCCTTGGCTGTGCTTTCCAAAGGAGTCCTGTTGTGAGGATTCCCAAGGGAGTCAGTCCATTTGTGGCGTTTTCCAAAAGGTTACCGTTATGGGTTTTTCAGGTTTTTCAATCGAATCTCTGCGTGGCGCTGTCCAATCCAATCGAATTCTTCTGTGGCGCCTTCCGAAGGATTCCTGTTTCGAGGTTTTCCAATACAATCCCTGTGTGGTACTTTCCAAAGGATTCCTGTTGTGAGGCTTTCCAATGCAATCCCTTCGTGGGGCTTCCCAGTCCAATCGAACCCTTTCGTTGTGTTTTCCAAAGGGTTCCTGTTGTGAGGCCTTCCAATAATACCCCCTGGCGATGTTTTCCAAAAGGGTTTTTTGTTGTGAGGCAATCCAATGGAATCCTTTTTGTTGTGTTTTTCCCAAGGACTCCTGTTGTGCGGCTTTCCAATAGAATCCTTTAGTTGCGGTTTCCAAAGGATTCCTGTTGTGAGGTTTTCCACTCGAATATTGTTGTGGCGCTTTCCAATCCAATGCAATCCTTTTGTGGTGCTTTCCAAAGGATTCCTGTCGTGAGGCTTTCCGATCGAATCCCTTTGTGGCGCTTTCCAAAGGGTTCTTGTTTTCCCATCGAATCCCTTTGTGGTGCTTTCCAAAGGATTCCTGTTGCGAGACTTTCCAGTCAAAACCCTGTTTGTTGCGTTTTCCAATCCAAGGACATCCCCCTGTGGTGCTTTTCAAAAGGGTTCCCATTAAGAAGCCTTGCGCTACCCCGCCGCCCTCAGCCCGATGTTGCACTGCCCCGCTGAAGGAGGATATGAGGATTAGGAGGAACGACGGAGAGCGGGGAGCAGATGAGGGACGGGAAAGTATATACACACATCCGAAGAATAGGTATGATCATGGGGAAATCTGTGTATATATACACGTAGGGCATCCCATCGATTACTCTAGATAGCTCGCACCAGATAGCTTACACCACAAAACGTACATCGCACACCTCACACCGTATAGCTCATCCCACAGAGAGTGCGCCACGTAGACCACGTAATGTACACACCTGCACTGCAGCAGTTCATCGTCCGGGGTCCACGCTGGCAAACATTTGATGACCTGATTGCCCAACTGCGCTTGTACTTTCCCTGCCGCTAGTCTGTGCCATCTTGTGATCGGGAAGGCAACCGCACCTTGCTCGGTGCAGGTGGCCAGGGCACTCTGCCAAAGCCAAGGCGTTCAGTGCAGCCTTGACTCGGCAGAGGCGCTAGCTCATTTCATGCGTGCGCGCATCTCCTCGGACTGGACTGGCGGCGAGGCCGAGCCGTGGTGCCCCTGGGATGTCGGGCGTCGGGGCCTGGTGTCTCCAACCGCGCGGGGCCGACCGGCCCTCTCCTCGGGGGAAGCCGGCGCCCCAAGCGACTTGCGCGCGGCAGGCGGCGCGCTCGCGCAGTCCACCCTCGACGGTGAGGCTTCGGGTTGCGCACAGACGGCCCCCCAGGTAGGCCCGGCTGGCCTCGACAGGCCCCCCGAGTAGTCCCAGCTGGCCTCAACAGGCCCCCCGGGGTATTCTGGGGCGGTCTCAACACCCTAACCCTTGGGGCGCGGAGCGCCCCAAGGGCGCCGCCAGAGGCGGCGCCATGGTGTTAAGACTGCCCCGGACTACTCGAGGGGTGCGTTGAGCCCGGCTGGGACTATTCGGGGAGCCCGATGAGGCCAGCTAGGATTACTTCGGGGCCTGTTGGAGGTCACCCAGGACTATCTGGAGAACTGTTTGTGTGCAGCCCGTCGCCGAAGCCTTACCAGACCCCAACCCCACCTCTGCGCCGGATTTATCAGGCCGGAACGACCTTTGAGTCAGGTCTCCGAGCATTGCCTCGTTGCTGATCGCAGCCGTCCAGCTTCCGCGCCGAAGACCGCCCGAACCCGTCAGAGACCGTCAGAAGGCCGCCAGGAGACCGCCGGAATGCCGGCGACGGCCGCCGAAGGCCGATGCGATGCCATCAATTCAGATGCAACGTTCGACGGGTATAAGTTCAGGGGGGATGCGTCGACCCCCAATCGCCCATAGATCGCCGAGTGGGGCCCGATGGCCCACCCCGCACAGGAGAGTGCGGTTTCGCTATTCGGGGGCTTGTCGCCGATCTATCGGCGATGCATCGCTCGTTGCAGATTGATACTTCCCATCTGAGCCAGTCCCCCTCAACGTTCCCCCTCTTAAGAAGGGGGGGCGCTGTGGTAAGGAACAGTTCGGGTTCGGAAGGGGCTGGCTGTTCCGTGGATTCTTCCATGTCTGTTTCTCTAGCGCTCCTCGTGAACCCAGGCAGTCGTGGGGCCCAAAAGGGTCTTCGTTCTGTCATAGCATCCCCGATGGTAGCACGACGACTGTTGTACCCATCCAGCCACGCCTCCCCTCCCTTAAGGGTCACCGTGGAGGGGATATGCCTAGGGAAAAATGCATCGACCACCAATGGTCCATCGATCGCGGCTGAAGGCCCGATATGCCCGTCCCGCCCAGGAGAGTGCGGGATTGCTAGTACCGGGGGCGTGTCGCCGATCAATCGGCGATCGCCGACTCCAGGCAGGTGCTCCCCCCCCTCTGAGCTGGACCCCCCCCAAACCCCTAACGTTGACGGGTCTCCGGAGGCCATTCGGGACGATCGGGACACCCTTGGAACGCCTTGGGCGAGGCGCAGCTGCTGGAAGGCACCCCGAGGTTGGAAAGCCGTCGAGAACCGACGACAACGCCAGAAAACCTCGAACCTTGAGGAGGAGGAGAAGGAAGAGGAGCCCTGCAGGACTCGCGGTGCTTCTTCAGCTTCTTTATGGGGGCGCTCCTCTGCCATCTCCTCGACGCCGAGGGGCGTGGCCGCCCCAGACGGCCTCGACACGCGGGGCGTGCCTCCAGCTCCCTGCCCTGGCCTGCTTGCATTTGATTGTTTATCACAGTTGATCACATTTTTGTATTACATTTGTTACCACAATTTGATCACAGTTTTTGTATCACACCTGGGAGTTTTTAGTCACACTTGTTTATCACACTTTTTATCCGTAAGAGCTTCGCCCCATTCCGCCTGCCCCCTTCCTCGCATCATGGGAGATGCAAAAGCTAAATCATGAGGTCTGGGCGCCGACGTGAAGCAGTGTCGGGACCTGCTTGTTTTTCCACCCTGGCTCCGCCGATTTGCCTGAGGGGCGCAAACGAATTTCAGGAATGTAGGAAATCCCATGTGTTTTGGGACCCTGACCCTGTCGATCCGCGTGAGGGGTGCCACCGAATTTCAGACATGTTGAGAATCCCTTGGGTTCTTGGACCCTGACCCCGCCGATCTACGTGAGGGGTGCCACGGAATGTCAGAAATGTTGCAAATCTCTAGTGTTTTTTGATCCTGTCCCCGCCGATCTGCGTGAGTGGTGCTGTTTTTGGACCCTGACCCCGCCGATCTGCGTGAGGGGTGCCACCGAATGTCAGACATGTGGCAAATCCATTGTGTTTTCGCACCCTGACCCCGCTGATCTGCGTGAGGGGTGCCAGCGAATTTGAGAAATGTGGCAAATCCCTTGTGTTTTTTGCACCCTGACCCCGCCGATCTGCGTGAGGGGGGCCACCGAATGGTAGAAATGTTGCAAGTCCCATATGTTTTTAGACCCTGGCCCCGCCGATCTGCGTGAGGGGTGCCACCGAATTTGAGAAACGTGGCAAATCCTTTTGTGTTTTCTGCACCCTGACCCCGCCGATCTGCGTGAGGGGTGCCACCGAATGTCAGAAATGTTGCAAATATACATATAACGGCGCACCGGGCCCGGGGGCCCGGGGCCGGGACCTCGACCACAAATGTGGGCCCCGGGGGGCCCGGAGGCTCGTCGGACCGCCGGACGCCGTCCAAGATCGTTCGCAGGCGGCTTCGGAACGCGCTCCGATGGCTCCAGATGCCTTCCAAGACGCCTGTCATGACACCAAGACGCTCCCGAAGCCCAAGAGAGGCCCAAGAGCAAAAATCGTGCCATTCCTATGGGAAAACGTATATTTTTCGCATGTTCGCATCTTGGGCTTTCACCGCGTCCAAGACGGCCCAAGAGGCCTCCAAGACGGCCTAGGAGGCCTCCGGGAGCGCTCCAAGGCTGCGCACGAGTGGCTCAGGACGGCCCCAAGACGGCCCAAGAGAACCCCAAGACGACTTCGAGAGGGGTCCCAGAAGGAGAAAAGCCACTCTCGAATTCCGAGCTTCCGGCCCAACACATCCCAGGAGGCGCCAAAACGCCGCCCAGAGGCGCCAAAAGGCTTCCAAAATCAGCCCAAGACGTTCCGAGAGGCACCCCAAGAGAGGTCCAAGAGAAGAAGCAAAAATGGTCCCATTCCTATGGGAAAACGTATACTTTTCGCATGGTCGCCTGTTGGGTTTTCACCGCGTCCAACACGTCCGAAGAGGCTCCCAAGACGGCCTAGGTGGCCCCCAAGAGAGTTCCAAGACGGTTCACGAGGCGCCCAGGACGGCAAAATTGGACTCCAAAATGGCCTAAGAGAGCCCCAAGGCGTGCCCGAGAGGGGTCCCAGAGGGAGAAAGCCACTGTAGAATTCCGAGCTTTCGGCCCCAAGAGGCTCCAGGAGGCGCCAAGAGAGCTCCAAGAAGCCCCCACGAGAGACCCAGGACGCCCCAAGAGGCTCCAAAGGCGGCCCAAGAGAGCCCCAAGATGGGCCCGAGAGGGGTTCCACGATTCCTGGGTCTGTGACTCGACAGAACCTAAGCGCGCGCGAAGCGCGCGCGTGGTTCTAGTCCCATATGTTTTTAGACCCTGGCCCCGCCGATCTGCGTGAGGGGTGCCACCGAATTTGAGAAACGTGGCACATCCCTTGTGGTTTTTGCACCCTGACCCCGCCGATCTGCGTGAGGGGTGCCACCGAATGTCAGAAATTTTGCAAATCCCATGTGTTTTTAAACCCTGGCCCCGCCGATCTGCATGAGGGGTGCTGTTTTTGGACCCTGACCCCGCCGATCTGCGTGAGGGGTGCCACCGAATGTCAGACATGTGGCAAATCCAGTGTGTTTGTTGCACCCTGGCCCCGCCGATCTGCGTGAGGGGTGCCAGCGAATTTGAGAAATGTGGCAAATCCCATGTTTTTTTTGACTCTGACCCCGCCGATCTGCGTGAGGAGTGCCAGCGAATTTCAGAAATGTGGCAAATCCCATGCGTTTTGGACCCTGACCCCGCCGATTTGCGTTAGGGGTGTGAATTTTTACGCACCCCAGCAATTCAGAGCACACGCTCAGGGCGTGCTAAACCTGCCCGTTTGGGCATCCCCCCCCTCGCGCGGTCCATCAACAGGGAACAGTAAGCAGCAAGAAGCAGAACTGTAACAGTGGAAACTGAAAGCTGCAACTGGTACAGGAAACTGCGAATCTTCGGCTTACAGCCTGGTGGCCCCACAAGGGGGCCGGCGGATTACATTTATCACACTTGTTTGGAGTACCCTTCCCCCTTGGGGTTTCGCTTGTTCTATTGTGTAGGGCAGATGGGGAATCACATTTGGGGGGGCGATGCTGTGTCTTATTCCCCCCAGAAGGAGTTGGCCAAGGAAGGAGCTGCTTCCCGGCGGCGGCGGGGTCTTCACGCGAGGGAATCGGCGTTGCCCTACCCGAGCGTCCGGGCACCTTTGGAGGAGGACCTGAGAAAACGGGGAAGGACGTGGCCTGCGGCATCGTTCTCGTGGCGTCGGCTCGCGCCGAGGGTTCTATGGAGGGGTTGGTCGAGGCCCCCTTGGGTCAGCCCTCCAAGCAGCTGCCGGACCGCGCCCTGCCCACCGAGGGGTGCATGATCCACGCCACACTGAGCGCGAGCGCGGCGTCGGACAGAACGACCACCTGCCGGCGATTCAACCGCCCCACCGCAGGCACGGAGGGTGAACGGCATCGAGACGCAGTGGCGTCCTCGGACGGAGATCGCAGCCGATTGAGGCAGCAGATGCGCAGTCACTCGCCCTCTGGGGCGCGAGGTCCCCGCGAAGTGTCGCCGTCCCGGCGCGCTCGATCCCGTCGCCTGGTGTTGTTGCCTTCGTTTGTTGGCTTGGAGGCCGCTCCGCGCGCCAGAAGGCCAGAAGGGCTGGGCGTACGGGGGGATTTGGCTGGGCGCGATCGCCAACCCAGCCTGCGGAGCACGTGGCCGCGTTGCCATAGACAGCATCGTCCTGCTCGTTTTCGTCTGTCCCCTTTTCCTCTTTCGACTTCCAGGTCGTGCGCGTTCACGTAACTTGTGTCGCCTGTGCGCCCTCGTCTATACAGTCAACCATGATAGTAAGGGTGGGGCAACTTTCCAAGGCTACCCCGGCATCCTTGCCCCTTCGGTATTCGGCAGCCTTCGGTATTTTGCTGCGCTCCGCACGGAAAACGCCAACATGGCGTTCGAAGGCCCTTGCATCCGTACCGCGCAGCCTTACTATCCTGGTCGAGTGTAGGTTACGTGGGAGCCCGGAGCATGGAGCTCGCCATTTTGGCTCCGCAGCCGCGGGGGGGGGGCCCGAGCGCGGTGCCCACTCGCCCCAGCTACCGTTTGCCTCCTGCGACGCCCACGGAGCGGCTCGGAGGCCGCTCGTCGTGCCGAGGGAGTGGCTGGGATCGCCCGTCCGGCTTGCGGAGCGCGTGGCCGCGCTGCCATGAGCACCACCGTCTTCCGCTTCGTTTTGTTTTTCTGTTTCCTCCCCTCGGTTTCAGTGCGTACGCTTTCTCGTTGTTGTTGTTGTTGTTGTTGTTGTTGTTGTTGTTGTTGCTGCTGTTGCTGTTGCTGTTGCTGCTGTTGTTGTTGTTGTTGTTGTTGTTGTTGTTGTTGTTGTTGTTGTTGTTGTTGTTGTTGAACATTATTACTTCTAAAGAATAATTATTGTTGGGACCCCTGGTGCACGACCCCCCCGCCGCGCCTAGGCGCGCAGCCTCATTTTCATCATTTTCGTGAGGAAGTCTCAGGCAAAACGGGGAGTCCGGATCCGGTTGTGTTGTTACGATCGGTTTTCCCTTGCAAAAAATAAGCTAAAGTGGACATTTCTTGTTCTAACATAACCAAACTTCAAGAATCCCTTGCAAAAAATAAGGTAAAGTGGACATTCGCGCGCGCAAGACGAAATCCTTCCAAAACCTTAGTTTTCGTAGCGAATTTAACATAAAAACATCAAAAAACCAATGGTTTTTCAAAAAAAATGTCAAAATTTCATCCCGCGCGCTCTTGCGGATTCGTAGGAAACCCAACACTTTTTAAACATTTCTGTCAAACGGGCTTTTGCGAGCAACTTTTTCGAACTTCTGCAACAACGGTTGCGCACCTGCCAGGGCCATCATCCCTGTCAAATAATACCATGCGGGACACATTCGTTTTTTCTTCGCGCGCGCACGCCGTCGTCGTCGGCCGCGGGGCCCTGAATAGTAGCCACGGTCGTCCGCATGCCACGAAGTGAAGTGTCCGAACGTCATAGGGCGGGAAGCTGGGTGTGGGTGGTGGCGAAGAGTCGTTTGGAAATTTGGTAGAGCTTGAACCGGCCCCCCCACAAAGTGGGGGTATTGCCCGCCTCCTATGAAAACCCTGGCACTGGTGAGAACGGAGTGTCCCCACGTGCTAGTAATGTGTTGTTGTTGTTGTTGTTGTTGTTGTTGTTGTTGAACATTATTACTTCTAAAGAATAATTATTGTTGGGACCCCTGGTGCACGACCCCCCCGCCGCGCCTAGGCCGCAGCCTCATTTTCATCATTTTCGTGAGGAAGTCTCAGGCAAAACGGGTTGGTCCGGATCCGGTTGTGTTGTTACGATCGGTTTTCCCTTGCAAAAAATAAGCTAAAGTGGACATTTCTTGTTCTAACATAACCAAACTTCAAGAATCCCTTGCAAAAAATAAGGTAAAGTGGACATTCGCGCGCGCAAGACGAAATCCTTCCAAAACCTTAGTTTTCGTAGCGATTTTAACATAAAAACATCAAAAAACCAATGGTTTTTCACAAAAAAATGTCAACATTTCATCCCGCGCGCTCTTGCGGATTCGTAGGAAACCCAACACTTTTTAATCATTTCTGTCAAACGGGCTTTTGCGAGCAACTTTTTCGAACTTCTGCAACAACGGTTGCGCACCTGCCAGGGCCATCATCCCTGTCAAATAATACCATGCGGGACACATTCGTTTTTTCTTCGCGCGCGCACGCCGTCGTCGTCGGCCGCGGGGCCCTGAATAGTAGCCACGGTCGTCCGCATGCCACGAAGTGAAGTGTCCGAACGTCATAGGGCGGGAAGCTGGGTGTGGGTGGTGGCGAAGAGTCGTTTGGAAATTTGGTAGAGCTTGAACCGGCCCCCCCACAAAGTGGGGGTATTGCCCGCCTCCTATGAAAACCCTGGCACTGGTGAGAACGGTGTGTCCCCACGTGCTAGTAATTGTTGTTGTTGTTGTTGTTGCTGTTGCTGTTGCTGTTGCTGTTGCTGTTGCTGTTGTTGTTGTTGTTATATCTCTATATTTCCTTATGTGATTGCCCTTTTCGCTCACGTGCTGTTATTGCGTTTATTTGTATATGCATAGTTATAGATATATCTCTCTCTGTCTCTCCCTTTCTCTTTTTTGTCTATTTCTCTCTCTCTCTCTCTCTCTCTCTCTCTCTCTCCCCCTCGTTCTGTCTCGTTTTTATGTCTCTGGTGTATCGTTATGTCTCTCGCGTTCTCTCTCTCTTTTTCTCTCTTTTTGTTGGTTTGCTCTCTCTCTCTCTCTCTTTCTCTCTCTCTCTCCGTCTCTCTGTCTCTCTATCTTTATATAGGTTAATGTAAATACAGGTGCAGTGCTATCATTCTCTCTCTCTCTCTCTCTCCCTCTCTCTCCGTCTCTCTCTCCCCCTCTCTCCTTCTCTTCCCCCCAATTCTCATCTTCCTCATGCTCGTCTTGTCCCCTTTTCCTCTTCTGAGAGGAAAATGGAAAAATCCCGCGCTGCCCAATCGATCGGGCGATTGGCGAATCCGCCCGAAACATATTTTTAAGCATGTTTTTCCCCCAAGAGGGTAACGCGGCCTCTTTGTTGAGGACCCAGATAATTTTCACGAAGTTTCCTCGCCAAAGAGGATTCCGTCCACTTCCCAATCTTCCGCCCCCTCCCTCTCCCTCTTCCTCGCCTTCCAGAACTCCCGCCTGGATTGCGGGCCGTTGGGCCCATGGGGGCGGTCGTCCTTTTGAGGGGGGCGCTACGCGCAGTGAAGGAGTGCGTCGGGCTTGTGTGGGGCACCTTGCGCGGAGAGGACTCGGGACAGGAAGGCGCTGCTGCTGCATCGTCGATGCATCTTGGGCTTACTCTGGTCATTCCGCCATTCTTGTGACGCTGCGCGTGTTCTGGCCGAGTGGTAGTCGCAGCGTTTGACTCTAGGAAATACCGGCCCTGGCGAAGCAGTCAAGTGTAAGAAAATTTAAGACGCCGCCGCTGGCAATCTCGCGCGCAATGGAGGGGGTCGAGTGCCCATCCGAGGGATCCGCACAGAGTTCCAAAAATGCATCCACCACCCGACACGTTGGGCTTGTCAGATTTCCGAGAAAAAAATGGGCTCCCGTCTCGCCTCGCATACCCTGCGTACCGCGGCCGCCTCCAAGTGTGCCGGTATTCCGTGGGCGTGCCGCCCCGCGCTTTCGAAGGATGACGGCTGTTTGCCCCGGCCTCAGGCCCCAAGGGATCGCTCGAAGCAAAATCCTGGTTTCTTTCATACTTCCATTTTTTTTGCTTACGTTGGGCCAACTTGTGCCAGGGAGCGGGAGCGTACCTCTCTCTACCCTCCTCCTACTCGTCCTCCTAAGCATCCTCCGTAGCATCCTCCTCGTCCTCCTCCTCCTCCTCCTCCTCCTCCTCCTCCTCCTCCTCATCATCATCATCATCATCAGCAGCAACCGTAGCCATTCTGGCTCAAGCGGCATTGCCCTGTCGGGTCGGGTCCGTCTCTCATGCCCTCATGGTTTCTGGCGAGCCCGCCCAGCTCCTGGCTGCCTGCCATGGCTCGTGCTTCAGGCTGCTCTGCGAGGCCATGCAATTCGACTACGTGGGCGCGACGGTCGCAGCCCGTGCTGCCAAACGGGCAGGCCTGCTCACCCCGGAGATCGCTCGCAAGGTCGAGAGATCGACATCGCCTTTTCCGTCATCCGTCGCATCAATGCCATCAAGTGCGATGCTCCGGTTGATGAGGTTCGCCATCAGCTCCCCGAGTTTCCACATGATCGTTTTCTTTCCGAGGTTCCTCCTAGTGGGCTTCAGGACGTTCGAAGGCATTCAGATGCTGACGAGCGTGTGCTTCAAGAGGATGGTGGTTCGGACCCTCCTGATTTTCCTGGCGAGCGAGGTCTTCAAGATGATCGTGATATTCCTGGCCTCCCTCCCTTTCCACAACTTGGTGCTCCTGAGTTCTACATCGGTGACTCTTTCGCGGAGGCCGGAACACAAACACTGTTGATGATGTACCGTTGGATCGGTATTGACCACAATGTACAGATTTCTCATCGTGATCGTGATGACCTTCCACCCGAGATTCTTGCTGTTCTACAAGGAGATCTTCCTGATAATCGTGTTGACCATCCAGCCGAGCTTCCTGGTGATCTTCACGGTGACCGTGTGCATGCAGATGCTGACGAGCTTCCAGATAGACCTGATGTGCTTCCAGCTGGTGGTTCAGACCTTCCTGGATTTCCTGGCGAGCCTTTTCTTTCCGAGGTTCCTTCTGGTGGGCTTCAAGCCGTTCGTGGGCATGCAGATGCTGACGAGCTTCCTGACGGCCTTGGTGTGCTTCCTGATGGAGGGGATCGGATATTCCTGCTGTTCCTGGTGTGAGTATTCTTTCCGAAGTTCATCGTGGTGGGCTTCAGGACGCTCGTGGTGTCGGCGAGCTTCCGGCTGGCCTTGGTGGGCTTCCTGATGATAGTGATCGTGTGTCTTTCGAAGTTCCTCCCGGAGGGCTTCAAGACGTTCGTGAGCCACGTGTGCATGCTGGCGCTGTCGAGCTTCCAGATGGCTTTCGTGGGCTTCCTGATGATGGTGGTGCGGACTTTCTTGGTTTTCCTGGCGAGCGTGCCCCTCCTGTGGTGCTTCCTGGTGGTCTTCAGGACGTTCGTGAGCCGCGTGAGGATGCTGGTGTCCTTCATGATTTTCGGAGCCTTCGTGGATGTATGCATGCAGTTGCTGGCGAGCTTGTTGATCTTCCTGATGGCCACGAGCTTCACGATGACCGTGCGGACCTTCCAGCCCTTCCTCCTGGGGATCTGTCTGATTCCCGTGCTGCCGAGCTTCCTGGTGATCGTCACGACGAGCTTCGTGCGGGCCCTGATGGGGAGACGGTCCATATCAACGCGCGGCCAAGAACGCTCTGCTTCGCCAGATTGTCGAGGCAAGGTCGCAGCTGCAGGCCCTTGACCGTGAGCTCACACCTTTGAGCCCTCAACGAATGCTAGACGTGCGTAGCAAACTCAACGCCGAACTCGACGTGGCGTAGACGAAGCTGGCTTCGTTCAAGACCTCCGCGGCGTCCTGCTGCTCTCCCTGACGATCTACGGTCTCGTCATTGCGCTGGTGCTTCTCTTCGCGAAATCGCTCATCAAGTGACGTGGGCGCCCCGAGCGTTCGGACGCAACGTGTTTGGAGGGATGAGAGAGGGAACAAATCATCATCACCATCATCATCAGCAGCAGCAGCATCAGCATCCTCCTCCTCCTCCTCCTCCTCCTCCTCCTCTTCGTCCTGCGCATGCCTCAGTCCTCGCGGTGCTTGCCTACGCCGCGTTTTTTGCACCATGCTTGCACTGGCCCATCTTCGGACGAGTGGGCCAAACGGTCTGGCCACAGGGCAAGATGACGATGCCAATGTTTTTTGATCCTCTCGGATTGCCCCCCTGGCGATGTGCTGCTGCTGCTGCTGCTGCTGCTCTTCGTCGTGCCCTTCCTGACCTCCTCCGCATCCCCGCCGACCGGGCTGGCGGCGCGGGGGGCGGGCGGGGGGCACGCCGAGGCCGTGGCGGCAGGGGCATCGCCAGCGCCCTCAGAGGACCGGCTCCGGCGCCGTCGTCTGGGGCCCGCGCATCGGCTGCGCGCTGACATGGGATCAGGCGATCGCAAGCATGGATCAAATGGGGCGTGGGTGAGCGTCGGGTCCCGTTTCCATGGGAAATCGCCGATGTCCGATTTCCGCCCCCAGCGAAGCGGCACCGCCCGCATTCTGGGGAGGGCACCTCCCCCGATCCATGCTTGCGCGCCCCCGATCGGAGGCGGGTCCCTGGATCTGGCCATCTGGCATGCTGGCGTCGCCACACAAATCTCGACGCAAAGTTCTTGGTCGTTTTTCTGGGCATCCGGGGGCCCTCGCAGGGCCCCGGAACCGGACAACAGAGGCTCGGGCCGGGATGAAAACCGGCCCTGTGAAAAGGGGTCGGGGTTTCCGGGGTGACGCTGTACGTGTTGAAAAATCAAGGCGTCGGATTTTTGGGTAATGCGGGAAGCGATGATCGACCCTCCTCTTCGACTAACTTATATTGTTCGCATGGAAATGATTTACCGCCCGCGGATCCTTGAGAGCTGAATCCCACCAAGTGCCCACTAGGTTCCCAGTAATATGCCAATTGGTGCCCAATGAGAGCACAATAGGATTGCATCATAATCCCAGTAATATTCAAATCGGATTCCAATCGGCGGGGGCACTTGCACTCGACGAGGCCGTCTTTACGTCCCATCTGGGGCTGTCTTTCTCATCTTACTCCCACCGCCGCCCCCCCCGCCGCTTGGTGAATTACTTCATTGTGGTGCTAAAGATATCGCTCGGCGGTTCCCCCCCTTCGGGGATTAATTCGGAGCGGCCGTCTTGGGGCCCTCTTGGGGCCTCCCTTGGGCTCTCTTGGGGCTTTCTTGGGGCCCTCTTGGAAGCCTTGTAAGGCCTCTTGGGGCCATCTTGTAGGGCGTCGATCAAAGGAGGGGGGTCACCGATTTTTGTTTTTCCCCCCTCCATCTCGGAGCATCAGACACCCTCTTGGAGCCATCTTGGGCCATCTTTGGCGCTACTCGCTTCCCACTTATCGGGGAAGGCACCTCCGAAGCATGAGGACAGTGCCTCCTAATTTGGCAACGGAGCGCGCCGATTCTGCACGGAAGCGGGACCCGTCGCTAATCTTCGTGTTTTGCATATGTGTTGGTGCCTCCTCGAACGTAATCAAGCCCTCGATAGAAGCCCCCACCCCCATGAGGGGTCCCACAAGCCTGGGGAGGTCCTTAGGCATGTTGTAGGAGAAGATTCAACGCTTCTGGCGGCTCAAGTTGTGCTCAACTCAAAACCTTCTCTCCTCCGCCTTCTCCATTGTTTGCTTAATAATGTCATATTCCTAATATCATCCTCCTTCTCTCCTCCCCCTCCCTCCTCCTCCGTCTCTCCTGCTGTTTGTCCTTCTCTCTCGTGTGCGTTGGTATGTGCAGGCGCGCATGTGTAGATGTACGACGCGTTTTCGTGCGCATCCTCGTATACGAGCCAGTTGTTGGTAAACGTGCGAGTCTTGGTGGCATCTATGGGAACTCGCGGGGTCGTGTTTTCTGGATCCGCCATCGAAGCGTCGTCGCGCAAGATGGTTAGGATTCGCCACCGAAATAACATTGCGTCTTACTGTTGCTGGATCCGCCATCGAAATGGCCAACTTTGTCAAATAGAGTCTCCCAGTAGCGATTTGATGTCGAAACGCAATCCTGCATCAATGTTGTGGCTTCGAGTCTTTCTTGAATTTGGGCTTTTCTCCCAGAAGTTGTCGGCCCCTCCAACTCAGCCGCTTCGGAGATGGAAGCGGCCGCGGCCGCCATTCCGCTCCCTCCGCCTGGCGCGCCGCATGGCGGCGGCACTATCCTGCCGATGTCGCCAGATCACATCCGCGCGGTCGAAGACGTTGACGACAGGTCGATGATCTTGGTCAACAGGTTGACGTACCAGACCGCCAAAACGTTGGCCCCGCCAGCGAACGAGGTCTGGCAGCTCAAGTTCACAGAGGACGAGCCCGCCCTCGCGTTCTTGGCCAGCGAGACGGAATCATCTTGGGAGCCACTTTTCATATTTCTTTTTTTTCTGTGCTTTCGAGGGATGGGAGAGTCAGGGGGAGGGCGCTGGAGGGTCGGGCGGAGACATGAATCACGAACGGGTCCGAGGATAAGAGAACGGGTCATGTGGGAGGGAGGCCTTACGAATGCGACATCAGGGTAGGAGTAAGAGGACTAGAACGAAAGGAATAACGAGCAGGGTCGGAGGTGAGGACTGTATAGAATAGGGGGTAGGGAGGGCAGAATTAAATAGGATGGGGGGCAGGGAGGTGAGGATTGTATAGGATAGGGGGTATCGCCTCACTACTCCAAAAGGGCTTACGCCAATCCGCCGACTCCAGGAACGAGTGAGAGCGTGCGACGCCTTTTGACGCGACGAGTCTGCCAAGGCCCCAGGGAACCGAATGAGATTTCTTGGGGTGTCTCTCGGGGTGCTCTTGGAGGGATCATAGGGATATCTCTTGGAGTCTTTTGGGGGTGGCGCCGCAGGGGGCTCCACGGGGTCAGGGTGGTTCCGTTCACGCGGCGCTTTCGCGTAGGGGGCGTGTCTGTAATTGCTCGGGGTCTGCGTGCGTCGCTCCTCTTTCTCACAAGCGGAAATCCGCTCGCAATGTCTCCGGGTTGAATGCGAGCCCTCGGTCCGAGACCGATCTCTTTCCGTAGCTTTTTTCGGCTCGAGAGTCGTTTGTGTTCTTGGCTTCTTCGGTAGGCCCAGGGCTCCAAGCGCGCAGAGGCATGCCGACGTCCGCTGATGCTAGCCCGAGCCCGAAGAAGGCCAGGCGGTCTCCTCCAGCATCATCTGGCAGCAAGTCCCGTTCTTCTCCTGGGGTCAAGGGCTCTGCGACTCGGCCCGCTGCACCGTCTTGGCCAGAGATCATGAAGCGCAAGACCCAGTTCGAGCGCGACTGCGCGCGAGACTCCTTGACCTCCCAGTTGCCTGAGGACCTCCGCAAAATCGTGTGGGAGCTGATCGTGAATCCAGCGAAGATCCAGGGCGCTTGTAGCCTCATTTCGAGGTCAGTCCTTGCGGAAGCCCCAGTCGTTAAGAAGAAGCGCGGGGTCAAGGCCGTCGACGACGCCGCCGCCGAGCATTGGGACATCGACAAGAACTCGCAGATCCCGAAGTACTGGCTGTGGGAGGTAGTGCGCCTTTTGTCGGGCGACGGCACCATCGCAGAGGCCTTCATCAGTAAGTACGACAAGAAGGACAGGGGCTTCGTTCGAAAGCTCGTGGAGGCCATGACTGGGCTTCGCTCGACGCACAAAGTGCTCGATCAGATGAAGCAGAAGCGTTTGGCAGGCCGCATCGTGGCCAGGCTCTTCGACATGTGCGGCAAGCGCTGGGACGCAATCAAGGACATGCTGGATGGCAACACCGTGAAGTGGGAGCAGCGTGGCGTGTTCGAGATGCGCCAGCCGAACGAGCGCGGCGTCGTCACCCACATCAGGCACATCTGTGGCAAGACCGCCAGCGTTCCCAGGAACAACATGGTCACGACTGATTGGTGGTTCGAGCAGAACTGGTCGGACAAGTACGCTCGCCTCACCGATGGCGAGTCGGGCTTCCTCTGTTACACGCGCTTCGCGGACCAGCACGACACGGACTGGTTCAAGATCGCGTCGGACCCAGCGGACATGCTCAAGGAGGTCGCGACGCAGGAGCAAGCCAAGCTTGAGTCTGATTGCAGGAAAGTCTCGGCCACTGACGTCAAGATATCGGACGCCGTCGCCTTGGCAGCAGAGGGCGCCAAGCGCCGTAAGCTGAGCACGAAGGGCCCCCCGAGTCAGAAGATGATGACCACGGCGCCCACTCCGTCAGCAGCAACTGCGAGGCGCGTTGCGCCTGAGGAGACGACGCCTGATGACGACATCGGCCAGTAATTAGGTGTTTTTTGTTAGAGCTGGCTGGTGACTGCCAGCCTGCTGCGCTCGCCTTCATCGCAGGTTGAAGGATGGATGAGACACAGAGGAGGAGTTAAGGGGAGGATGAGTCAGGGGCAGGGCGGATAAGCAGTGCAGCAGCGTCGCAGCATTGAGCTACATACGGTTTGGTTCTCTCTGCCCGTCGTAGGGCCGATCGAGGCTGAGCGCAAGGCGGCGCTGCGAGCAGCGCAACGCGAGAAGATAGTTGGAGGCTGTGGGTACCCTCGGTAGTCGTCTTCTCCAGGTAGGTGTGTCCATATGAGTGCCTGCGCCTGGTCTCGTTATTCGCATGTAGGTAGGGCTGCTCGCGATCGCTGGCAAGGTTGATATAGCATCTGCCACGTAGGTAAAACATATGCCAGTTCGCAGCATTTCGATGGAAGTTAAAACGTGAAAACCTCGCAGCGATTCCACGTGTCTGCTCGCAACCGCCGGGGGCCGATGACGTCGATGCAGCGAGTGACCTCAGCGAAAGGCTGGGGCGGGCTTAAGCGGCTCATTTGCGGAAGGGTGGCGGAGAGGGAGGAGAGGAAGGATGAAGGAGGATGAGAAGGAAGAGGAGCGTCGTGGGTATGTAGCCGACGACGTTGCATATACGAAACAAAGACGTTGTGGAGGGGGGAAGTGGTGATGATTCAAAACCGTACCAAACATGTGTTCCAGGGGCCAACGTTAAACCGCCACGGTAGAACTGCCCAACTTCTGAAATGGTGTTCTCTAAAAGTTTACCGTGCCCTTCGCACTTGGAACCCCCTCTATCTCGCGCAATGCTCCCACGTCCCACCGTGCCGTCTCCCGCGTCGTGCAGCGTGGATGGCCTTGTTTGTTTTTCGACGGTCTTCGGATCGACATTCGCCGTTCGCTCCATGGGACTTGTGCGCCTGCCATTTTCTTCGAACAGCAGGCCCCTGATATCAATCATATCTTCAGGTAGCCGAGTATTTGCATCACGTGGTGTTCGTCAATCCGTCCGATGGGATGGAGTTCGTCTCTATTACCGACGCGTTTGGCACGCACCAGGTGTGGTTGCAGAACTACTGGGGCGACAACAGGCGG